GCCAAGCTCCCCAACCCCCAGTGGCTGTAACACAGAGTAGGCAGGACACCAGCAGCGGCAAGCTTCTGGCTCCCTGCCAGCTGCTTCATTGCTTATTAACTTATTTTATATAGCCTTCAGCAGGGCAAGAAAGCTTCCTCTAATTATCAACAGGAATGCAGAAGCCACAGGGAGAAATCAGAGCCAGAAAACTGAAGCTGTTCTGTTTATGCTCCAGCCCTTATCAAAGTGGACACCAAGTTGAGCTATGCCGATAGCAGGCTGGCAGTTGCAGGAAGCTTGTGGGAAGGGACTGGGACCGAAAGGCAAGTTGGGTAATGGAATGAACGTTCAATGAAGAGAGTTGGGGGCTAGGTGGGTTGGGGGAGGGGTGATGTTTCTTGGTTGGTTGGTTGGTTTTTTAACCTCTTCCAGTTATTCAGGGAAGTTAACCATCAAAAGTTGCCAGAGACAGAACATAGAGATTTGAACCAACCTTAATGGACCTTTGGCCACTACGTCAGAGAAGGGGCACATGTGAGACAGTGAAGGTGGAGTGGAGTCACTGTCCAAAAGGTGGCTTGAATCCTTTGCATGGAAACTAAAAGTCACCTCCAAAAGCAGCATTTTGGGAGCAAGCAGGCACAGTGGTAATTCACTGGGTGGAATAGAAAATGCCAGTGAGCCCTCTCCCCTCCTCAAGTTATACACTACCTAAGAAGTCCTCCATCAAGGGTCAGATCAAGTCTCATGTTCTTCCTGAAGCTATTCACACCTTCTTACAGCTACATATTTCATACATGATGCATAGCTAAGTGTCTATATATTTTATATAAGGAATTTCTTACAACTCCAATTATACTGATAACACAAAAGAAAGTACCATCAGAAGTACTTTGTGTGGAAAAGTGAAACAAAATATAGCAAAATCTTTAAGGGAGGGTGTTTAGAGTGTGAAGAATGTAGAAAGCAAACCATCCACCCCACCTCCATCCCCACCCCCACATCCCAGATCTTTTGGCTCTGTCCTAGAGTCTTCTCCTTGGGTGAGATTTCACATGCTGTGCTGTGGGTTAAACCTGCAAGCACTTGAGGACCTTAATGTAAGATACAAGGGAAAGACCAGAATGAGCAGATATGGGGAGATGTTGACAGGGACTTGTTCTCCAGAACTCTAGCTCTGCTGTCATGAAGCATCATCAATGGTCCCTGTGGAAATAGCACTGGGACCCAAATCCCATTATTCATTATGCAAAATAAAGAAGTGATAGTGGGTGGTGGTAGACAAAGCTTGGTCCCAGTGGAGACTGAACAAGGAAGAGCTGGATGGAGTAGGGATGGTGTATGTTATCAGATACACCCCACAACTGAGGAAATTTTATATTGCTACAAAGTAGAAAAAAACAATGTATGTGAAGTGTGCCTTTGTAAGGAGCCTATCTATGAACTTCTGACAGAAAAACTTTGGAAGAAACAGAACATGGAGAAAGCGAGTTTACCAAGTTGTGTTGAAAGAAAATAACAGAATAAGGGCAGAAAGTAGCTTTCTGTGGTCTCTGGCAAAAAGCTGGACCAATGCTGAAAGATATCAGGTATATACGAAAGAGGTGACCACTAGAGGACCATGTACTTAGGGGGAAAAATGAGGAAAAGGGAGAAAGGGAAAGAAAGAAAACAACAATTCAATTTTGTTTTTGTTTTTTACTATTGTAAGATGTTAGTTTTTTATGTTGCTCTTTCTTTTCTTTTTTACTCTTTGGGGAGCCCACCACCCAGCCCCCAAATAATCACACACAGAGACTTTATTTATTATAAATGTCTGGCTTTAGCTTGGTTTGTTTCTAGCCAGAAATTCTTAAAGGGTAATTCTTAAATTACCCCTTCCACCTTTTGCCTCTGGCTTTTATCTTTTTCTATTCCATATACCTTTCTTTACTTCTTACTCCATGGCTTGCTGTGTAGCTGGGTGTCTTACCCCGACATCCTCCTCTCTTCCTCTTCTTGCTCTTCAATCTTTTCTTCCCAGATTTCTCCTCCTATTTATTCTGTCTGCCAGCCCCACCTACCCTTTCTCCTGCCTTGCTATTGGCCATTCAACTCTTTATTAGACCAATCAGGTGTTGTAAACTTCACAGAGTTAAACAAATGCAACATAAAAGAATGTAACACATCTTTTCATCATTAAACAAATATTCCACAGCAAAAACAAATGTAACACATCTTCAACTAATATTCTACAACAGTCTTATAAAAAATCCTTGTCTTGTTGACAGAAGAAAATAATTTTTAACATAATAATAATTTCATTTTTATTTTATATAAAAATTAATATAGCTTGGGCACGTGTTTATAACAAGATTCACCTGTGATGTGAACTGCATTGAAGCTCTTTGAAAAAATAATATACTATACTCAAGATGTTACTGAAATGGCTGAATTATTCCTCATTAACCAAAATTTCTTTCCCATGATCTTTCTTTCATTGAATCTTACTTTTTTACTTCTTTCCATTTTTAAACATGCTCTGAATTCCTCTATATTTAAACTTTCCTAAAGGGCTGGAGAGATGGTTCAGTGAACATAGGTATGTGTTGCTCTTCTAAAGGACTCCTGTTCAGTTCCCAGCACCAATTTTGAGCAATACACAGCTGCCTGTAACTTCTGCTCCAAGAGGTCCAAAGCCCTGTTCTGGCCTCCATGGTGCCCACACAAGTGCATCATACACAGACATACATACACACAAATAAAAATAAAGCCATTGCAAAAGCATCCATCTTCCAGTGTTTTCATCTCTCCTCTCCTGCTATTCATTTTTTTCTCTATAGGAGAAAAAGAAAAAAATTTGCACACTTATGGCCTTTAGTCTCTAGACAGGTCCTTCTTCCCTTCTGTCTCCCTTGATTTCCTAATTCCAGCAGTCTGGATTCTACCCCCTGTCTTTGCAGAAACATATTGTACCTCCCTGGAATGATAGCCTCCTTTCAACTACATCCAACCTCCCTTTCACACATCATCCTTAATGTCTCTACTACATCTTCAACTGACACAGACACCCATCTTTTACTACCCCCAACTTGTTCTCAGGTCTCAACCTTCTTCCTTTGTTGTTTCCTGTCTTTGCACAGCTCTCCATGGGGTATTAAACCAAAGAAATCCCTCAGAATCTTACACTTGGGAGATCCATTTCCATTGTTTCTGATCCAGGAAAAACATTTAAGGATGTGGATCTTGGCTAATATCCAGAGAGTCTCCCACAATTTCACATTTCTCTTGTTTTCTTTTGATTTGATTAAGGCAGATATGAACAACAATCTGCTAGAAGATATCACCTTGAAGATTTTCATCGGCTTTGATTATCTTCTACCTGATTTTATCTAAAAAAAAAAAAAAAATGCTGTGGCTTTGTAGGTGGTATACCAGATGGCTGAGAGGAAGGCATGGGATGAGATGTGTTTATTGTCCCCTCTGTTTCTTCTGCTTCTTTTCTATGATTTTTGGAAACAAGCCCTGTGTGCTACTTACCATCATCTATATCAAACACATAAAAATCTTTTGATAGTGTGCAAGACAAAACAAGCATACAAACACTGCAGGGTATGTTAGATAATACATACCTCCAAGGAGAGCTGGAGAGTTGAGCAAGGGAAACAAAGGGTTACAGCCTTTCTGCCATGTTCCTGTGTGCTCTAGCCATGAACTAGTGATCAAAAAGGTCATTTGTAACAGAAAACGCATAAAATACTTTTCTATATCCTATTGATATAGAAAGTAGTAATGGAAATACAATCTGTTTCCTTTTCTTTAAAAAAAAACTTGAATTGCATTTATTGTTTGTGTGCATACATTTATTTATTTGCATGTACATATATATACATTTATTGTTTGTTTGTGTGTGTGTACATTTAGTGTGTGCATGTGTGTACATGTGTGAGTATTTGCATGCATGATGCATGTAGAAGTCAGAGGACAACTTGCAAGAATCCTTGCCTTACTATCATGTGGGTCCCGGGGATTGAACTAAAGCTATCACTCTAGAGAGCAAGCACTTTTACCTACTGAGCCTTTTCAGCAGCTCAGAAACATGGTTTTCAGGGGATTCTAGTATTCTTAGGAAGACAAGTAGTAATTTTGAAGGAAATATTAGTTTATTTCATCTGACTTGTTACAATTTTTAACTCAGCTTGCCCATATTAGCCAAGTTATTTGCCACTCTGAATTCACTTTCTTTTGTTGTGGAATGGGAAGACTGAATAAATAAATACCTACATATTCGATTCATTACGTCAACATATCTGCCTATTCTAGAACTTTCATTCAAACTATTTTAGTTGGCTTTTACTGTATAATGACCCCAATACCTAGTATCTAAAACATCAAGCATTTTTTTTTTGCTAGCTCCTGATTCCACAGAGTGGTAATCTGAGTTAGGCTTGGCAGGGTTCCTTTGCCAGTCTCTGTTAAGCTCACTAAGCTGTCTTTGCCAATTACCAATAAACTAAGGTGACTCTCTTTCTGGGTTTATCTGGCTGCTAACTAGGACAACAGAGGCACTGGGCCACCTGATTCTCATGTGGTCAATGAGCTGCAGCTCACATGGCAACTGGAGACTACAGAGCAGCAATTCTCAATCTGTAGGGCTCAACCCCTGTGGGATCAAATAACTCTTTCACAGGGTCACCTAAGACCATAAGGAAACACAGATATTGGCATTACAATTCATAACAGTAACAAAATTACAGTTATGAGGCAACAATGAAAATAATTTTATGGTTGGGTCACCACAACATGAGGAACTGTATTAAAGGGTCACAGTATTAGGAAGGTGGAGAACCACCGCTGTAGAGTAAGGAAATGGCAAAGGCTCACTGAAAAAGCCCTTTCAAGTCTTGGCATGTATCACATTAGCTCATGTCCCACAGGCAAGATTAAATCCCCCAGGCTTAGAATGGAGAATGGGACTCCAAACATGATGAGAAAGGCTGAAAGTCAATAGCAAAGAGATGCTGAAGAAGAAGAAGGTGAGGCTGTACCTGTGGTCTGCCACAAGTGTCTCTCTTCATATTCAGTTCTTACTTCTGTTGCGCTTGCAGTTTAATCTTTCAGATACTGAGTTCTACTGCCAGAAAATGATCCATTCAGAAACCCGTAGAAAGATCGGCGATAAGGTAAGGTGATTCTTTAAAGGGAAGAGACCAGGTTTATATGGTTATTTCAAGATGAGCAAACTCTTCCTGAAATGTCCCAGCTTAGACAAACTTTCTAAACCATTTATTCTATTTTTTGTTAAAGTTTGCCCCCACACACACAAAGGAATCTATTTACAGATCCCTACGACACTACCACAGTGTTTTGACATTTTAAGACTGCAGGGAAATCATGACTATTAGCATGTTACTTACTGGGGTCCCTGAATTTTTTTTAATTTAACTGAAGCTTGTGGAGCAATAAACTATGTCTCCTTGACCACAAGGAACATCAGGAATCAATCAACTAACAAAGGGTTCTAAACACATACATTGTTCAGAGCACCATGTCAGAGGCTGCAGGAGGAAATAAGGCAAAGAGCCATTTCTTCCATCTGGAAGCTCAATGTGCAATTAGGGAAAAAAAAAAAGTTCACCATTCTAGGTAGCAAAGCAAATGAAGATGTCGAATCCACAGTTCTGTCCAAGTCTAAGATTTCTACAGGTGTTCCATCTGCTCTGACACCATCTGCTCCCCATTTCCTGCTGTGTCAAATGTCCCACACTAAATCACCCTGTGAGAGGAAATGTGACTCAGGCTGACAGCGCCTTGCTCCACCATACTGGCTCCCACACCTGCTCACAACTTCACATCCCTCATGCACCTGTCATCACCTACCAAACACCCCTCCTTCACCCTACACATCAGTTTATAAATTCACATCATCATTTTCCCATTTAGATAAGAAATTCCCTCCCAAACATGTGAACTTAGAATGAGGAGGGAACATCCTTACTTAAAACAAACAAACAAACAAAAACTGGAGGGTTTGGGAGATGCCTTAGTCAGTGAAGTGCTTGCTATACAAGCTTGATCCTAGCACCCCAAAAATCCAGGTATGGTAGCATGCTGGAGAAACAAAGCCCCAAGTCCTAGACCAGCAGCCTGGTCTAGTCAGTTAGCCCAAAGTCCCTGTGAGAGGCTGGATAAGAAAACAAGATGAACAATTCCTGAAGAATAACACCCAAGACTGAATTCTGCCCTTCCCATGAATGTGCACACACACATACACACAAACACAAATATGGGATAGAAAAATAGGTGCAAAAAAATGTTCTTACTTCTAATGAGAAATCCTAGAGTGTTTAGACAATGATTTAAAGGATAGAATAACCTTGAAAACAAGAAATGATCGCTGGAGAATGCACTTTTCCGGGGTGCAGAGGCCCGGGTTCTGAAGATTGTGTGATGTTTCTCAGTGTGTTCCTGAGGCCATGCTCACTGTTTACTTTCAAACAAAAGTAGTGAATATGACATCTGCTGCCATCTACTTCAGAAGGCTGTTTCAACTCTCCAAGTTGCTAAGTCTATAAAACCACTCTACACAATGTGAGCTACTATATCTGTAGACACATAGCAATATTGATACCTAAGTCTACGAGTGACACCCATATCAACACCATCTGCAGAACTCTGTAAATACCTAGCTTCTGTTTAACACTGGTTAACACTAGCTAGACAGCTATCAGTCAGCAAACACTGACTGCTGTAACAATCTTTGGTGAGCATGCACTTATCAACAGAATGCAAAAGTACATACATGCATGCAGACATTAAATACATACATGCATACATATGCTATACACATAAATAAACTGTAAACATACATTCATAAAGTGAATACATATGTTGTCATAGCATATACAAAAGTAATATATTTTAAAATTTTGACCAAAATACAAAGAAAGTATGAATATAATAGAGCACGAACAGATGAAACTATGACTGAACCTGCTCCATTCTCATGTTTCTATAAGCATCACTCTCTGTGTAAAAAGGTTGTGACCGTCTAGACATCTGCATAATGTCACCTGAATATCAAATGTCATCACCTGCTCCACGGGTCCTTATTTTCGCTAAAGCCAAATGAAGCTTGGCTTTTTTGAAGCTAATGATCAAATAAGGTCTCAGAAAACACACTCGTCACACACCAGAAGATGCTAGTTTCTCTAATTTTACAGTAAATTCCATGGATAGCATACTGTAACCCTGGGCTTCGGTAACTAATACATGAGATACTCTCACTGGAAGCAGAGTCTAACGTTAGTTTGCTATAAAAGCCTAAAGCCTCACTGCTAGAAGCAATGCCTATCTGGTGAACTGATGCATTAGACTTGCCTAGCCTCTGTTCCAATGAGGCATGGAGAACCTCTTGCGAGAGAAATCATTTCAAGAATAAAGTACAAACAGATGCACATGGCCAAAGGGTCAGCGAAGGGACAGTCCTAAGATAATCATGGTGCTTGTCCCATGGATGTTGTAGAGGTAGAATTGAAAGTTTTCAGTAGCTAAATTTGGGGATTCAATCTGCACTTCTTTGGTGAACTCTTTTGTACTCACAAAAACACCAGTACCATTCCATCTGTCTCTGAGACCTCAAGTTTCTAAGGCCTCCACAGGGTGCAGCCATCCACAGGAGAAGCCAATGAGCTCCCGAATATTGCAGTAGTGCTGATAAAAGTATCAGTCTGTGAATGTAACTCACTGGACCCCAGTGCATGGCTGGAGGTGGATACAAGGAACATCAGTTACTAAGCCAGCTTCTGAGAGTGTTGGCACTACCCAAGTCCATGGCTCTATCATTTCCTCTCATTCTAAAGGCCATATCTGTGTTAGTGATTTCAGTTTCTACCTCCCTCCCAAATCTGTCTTCTATATTTCAGGCTGGTATATCTAACTGGCCACTCAGCATCCCTATTTGGAATTAAACCTTCAATCTTCCTATTCCAAAACATTATGAACTTGCTGGTTTCCTTATGTTCAACAGATGGGAACTTCATCCCTCCATCATTTGGTCTAAAACTCCAGCCACTGTCTTCTTTCTTCATTATACATTGTACATCAGTTCATCTGCAACTTTCAGAAATTGGTAAGGTCCTTCAGTCTAAGAAGGCATCGTCTACAACCTTGATAACTATAACACATGAAGCTGTGGAACTGGAATCCAAACCCCTCTCTTCCCAATGCCAGAGAACAAAGGCAAGGACAATAATTCAGTTTCTACTGAAAGCAAGAAATCACAAAAATCATTGAATGAACTCCCCAGGATGAATGTGCTCGATGTTCTACTAGAAGAACTAGCATACACAGGATTCTTCTCGTTAACACAGACACCACCTCAGGATCCGGCACACTTCTAGGCTCATAAGCAATCTTTCTTAAGAACACCGTCCCTTTCAACTTTCTTCTGCCTTAGGCGTGTTATCGCTTATATAGGCAGCTCACCTGGCATCTCATCAGAGTCCAGTTTATACTGTGCACTAATCTTTTCATTTGTGTTCATCTATTTGCTATGGCTCAGTAATGAGGCAGACCCTGCCATGGGTCACACATGGGATTCAGATGTGTGTGAGCAGTCTGGCCTGTGTGATGATCAACAGGCACTGCCAGCATCACATGTTTGTACCATAACACCAAATGACTCCCCTAAAAAGACACCTTTCTAGGACTGCTGTTTCAAGGGGTGAGAGACTGATTCTACGAACATCACTGAAGATCAGTTCTCCTCCCATCAGGCATCCTCCTGAGTAGGTCACTTGATTTGTATAAGTAATAATCTCAAAAGAAATAACAAAGATCTGAAGAGTGTATTTCATCTTACATTAATTTTTAATTTTTGTCTCTCTTTCTTATTATATATACATATGAGCCTTCATGTATATATGTGCATCACATATGTGCAGTTCCTACAGAAGCCAGAAAAGGGCATCCAATTCTCCTGGAACTAAAGTTACAGGCTGTTTTGATGCACGATGTTGGCTCAAAATGATGCTGGGAATGGAACCCAGGTCCTCTGCAGGAGCTGCAAGTACTTTTAATGTCTTTAACATTCATCTCTCCAGCCCCCACATTTCTTTCCTTTTTGTTGATATATATAATTAACACGCATGCAAGGCAAAGATCTTAAAAGAGTTCAGAGTTTTGTAAGCCAAATTGGCCAAAGAAGTAGCCCAAACAAGACATTACAACATTGCAAGTGTGAGAGAAACCTGTCAGCAACAACCATGTTGCAACGACAGTTCTTTATTCCCAGAATGCTTCTGCCTAAACTAGACTGCGGGGTATGCATGGCTATTTCCCAAGTCAGTAAGATTTCAGTGGAGTTGGAGAAAAAAGACCGTTGGTACCAATCATGTGTGGCCAATATATTGTACACCCCAATAAATGTATCTGGGGTCAGAGAACAGAACAGCCACGAGACAGACATAGAAGCCAGAAAATGGTGGCACTCACACCTTTAATTCTAGCCTTCTGGAGGCAGAGATCCATCTGGATCTCGGTGAGTTCAAAGCCACACTGGAAACAGCCAGGCATGTGACATATGCCCTTAATCCCAGGAAGTGATGTCAGAAAGCAGAAAGTTATATAAGGCATGAAAACTAGGAACTAGAGCAGGTTAAGCTTTTAGGCTTTTAGCAGCAGTTTAGCTGAGATTCATTCTGGATGAGGCAGAGGCTTCCAGTCTGAGGAAACCGGATCAGCTGAGGAATTGGCAAGGTGAGGTAGCTGTGGCTTGTTCTGTTTCTCTGATCTTCCAGCATTCACCCCAATACCTAGCTTCAGGTTTGTTTTTATTAATAAAACCTTTTAAGATTTATGTTACAATCATGTCCAAGTCCCAGCATAATTTTGGGGCTTGTATACTTCATAGAAATTTTTCACAACTGTAGAGATATTCTGATTATAAAGGTAATTATTGTCTGTAAAAGAAAAACAAATATATGAAAAAGAGGTTATTACCTAACCCAAATCAGTCAGCTTTGTGTCTTATAATCTTTTCAGTATATTTTAATTGACATAAATAGATATATAGATCATTCATGGATAACAGTAGAAAAATCATGACAGATAAATTTAGATAGATAGATAGATAGATAGATAGATAGATAGATAGATAGATGATAGATAGATAAAAGGTAGATTGATAATAGAAAAGAGAGAGATAATAAATAGATACAGATAAATAATTGATGATAGATGGTGGATAGGTAGATAAATGGTACATAGATATATAGATAGATGATAGGTGATATATAAATAGGTAGATATATAAGCTGGTTGATAGGTAGAAACAGAGATGGATGAATACAGATAGATGATAGATCATGTTTGTGGATGCATGTTTAAAACGGGATCTTACTACACCTCCTCTTCCAGGTGGTTGCACAAAGAAGATATTTCTGATTTGAAATTTAGCACTCTATCCAGATTTGGCAACTTAATTCAAACAAACTGGAACCTATTGAAGATGAGCTTACCACCTCTAACCTCCAGAAAGATCTGATTCTCAAGATCCCCAGCAGATCCCCCTGAATAGCATTCTATAAGCTGGGAAGGTGACAGGCACCTTCTAAATGTTGAGCTCAAAGTATGTAGAGGAAGTGCAGATGAGAATATGCACAAGACTTTCTTCTCTGGCCAGCTCTTGGGCTCCTGGTGTGAACAAATGCCTCTCAGCAGCTACTGGCATAGGATGCTGTCTGCAGATGCTGTAAACTATGAGAACAAGCATGTAGCTTAGGGATTATTTCTAGTCCTACCATGGAAACCCAGTGTGATACTGAAGCTGTGCACTGAAACAGTGTATTTACAAGGCAAAAATAAATGAATGGATAAACAAGCAAACAAATGAATGAATGAATGAATGAATGAATGAATGAATGAATAAGTCTAAGCTACAAAACAGGCAAGGTCACCCAAAGTCATTATTTTATCTACTTTTTCATTTATTATTTTCACAGACCTTCAAGCTCCATCTTATGAATGTGCTTTACCTTCAATATGAAGTCCTTTGTCATTTCTGATAAAGAAATATGTAAGCTTCTAGTAACACCCTCCCCTAAAATCTGTATCATCCTTTTTGTATAACAGGCAGGTCCCAGGGAGGATGACATAACTAGGCCCTCCCTAGAAGATATGATAGATAAGAGCTGGGTTGACAAGGCAAGGGGAGGTAGAACGGGGGAGGGAGGTGGGGAGAGAAGAAACTGGTTTCAAGTGAATTTAGCAAAAGCAAGCCTGTGATAGAGCACAAGCCATTCTTGGGCCACTCTGTTTAGCTCACAGACAGGCATCTAACTGCAGCTGGGGAGAGGTCACGCTCTAATATTTGCCTTCTTGCCTGCCATAGCCGGGAACATTACTCATGGCTCTTCTATCTTTCTTTTTAGGAAAACCAGCTCCGAGAGAAGATCCCATGCTGTCTAAAGGAAGCTACCCAGGAAGAAAAATGAGAATAATTAAAGCCCTAAATCTGTACAAGAAACATTCACAGCTGAGACTCTCGGGCCAAGAACGGAGATAATGCTAATGATTTTGTTTTATAGCCTCAACATGCCTCACATCTGGAGGTGATCCAAAGCCCTCAGCAGGTTGTCACGTTGATGGAAGGGCCCCTGCTGAGATGCAGCTGCTTCTGGGGAGAGCCGCATCTGGAGAACAGCTGCCTATCAATCCCTGCACCAGGAGGCCAGCGAGGCAGAGACTCTGCAAGGGCACCCTGTCCACCTGGAGCCTCCCCCAACCCCCACCTCCAGAGACTCAGACCGGCAAGGGCTGGTGGTTCGCATTTGTTAACTAATTGAAATACAATAAAAGCTTCACTTTCTGTAAACTTTGGGGGAAAGAGACAGATCCCTACAGTCCAGCTTCCCAGCTCACAGAATGGCTGCCTACTCATTTAAACACCAGCTTTTGTTTAACTACTCCCAGGGACAAAGTTCCCAAATGTATCTGCATTGCCAAACTCTCTTCTCCAGTTAACTGTATGTTCACCCGTCTTACATCATAAGTTGTGTCCATCAACGTGAAAAGCATAACAGTATGTCTATGGGCTTTCCTAACAGACAGACTTCCAAAGCATCCCATGTACAGCAGTGTACATAGAGAAGAGTATACACACACACACACACACACACACACACACACACACACACACATACGCACACACGCACGCGCGCGCACACACACACATACACACAGACGCATGCATATACACACGCACGCACACACGCGCATTCATAACACATGTGTGCATGTACATCGAGGGGGGGGGGGAGAAAGACAACTGACACCATTATGGAAATTAACAGAGTATTAGTCACTGCAGCTCCCTGTGTCTCCCTGTCTCTGTGGTCTTATAAAATAAGGGAAGGTCAATAAATGTCCATTAAGATCTGATCCAATGATCTTATTTTATTGCTGCCAATTCTTTCCTTCTTTCTTTCAATTCCTCTCCTTTACACACTCACACATTCTATATTCCTTCTTCCTTCTTGTTTCTTGTTTTTTGTTTTTGCTTCCTTCTGCTATCTACTTACCCACTATTTGGAGTGACAAGACAAATGTCCCAGGTAACCCTAAAGTGTTCTTCAGTCTGAGATCCAAGATGCAAGCCATGCCAAACAATAGATTACTCATTTTTTGGGTAGACGACATGGTAAGATCTGCTCTCACAGACCTTAAATATTATTAGAACACTTTTCTTGAGACTGGGTCTCACTATGCAGTATAGGTTGGCCTGAAACTCATTGTGTAACCCAGGTTGGCTTCAAACTCACCATCCTCTTGTCTCAGCCTCCAGAGTGTTGATAGTACAGATGTATGCCACCATGCCTGGCACCTAACATTTTTGGTAATCACATTTTCTCTGCCAGTCTTTGTCTCAAAATTATCAAACAATTGATGATAAACGGTGGATAGATAAATGGTGCATAGATATATAGATAGCTGATAGGTGATGTATAAATAGGTAGGTAGATATAGGTATAAGATGGTTGATAGGTAGATACAGAGATGGATGAATGGATAGATAGATGATAGATTATGTTTGTGGATGCATGTTTTAAACAGGATGGGAACAGGATAGATCAAGTGAGCTGGGGATAAATACTGGGAGAAATGACTGGAACTGGAGTGGGGGAGTATTTTAGGCACAAGGTGGAAACCTAGTGCAACAGAAACTCTGAAATATATGAGTAACTCTAGCAAAGACTTCTCGTAATGGGGTACACAGAGCCTGAACTAATGATCTTCTGCAACCAGGCAAGGCCTCAAGTGGAGAGATTGGGATACTAACCCAGTCACAAAACGTTCAAACTACAGCTTGTCCTGCATGCAGAATATTCTGGACCAGAGCCTAGCAGACTCCTCATCAAAGAGACCAGAGAGACTTCATCTAGGAACTGATGGGAGCAGATGCAGAGTCCCACAGCCAAACATTAGACAGAGCTCTGAGGAAGTCCTTCAGAGGAGGGAGAGGAAGGATTGGAGGAACCAGTGGAGTCAGGAACACCAGGAGAACATGGTCCACAGAATCATTGACCAGGACTCATGGGGGTTCATAGAGATCAGAAAGCCTATAGGAATCTGACCTAGATCCTCTACCTATATGTTATGGCTGAGTAGTTTGGTGTTCTTGTGGGAGTCCTAACAGTGGGAGTAGGGGGCATTTGATGACTCTTTTGCCTACTTATGGGACCCTTTTCCTCCTACTGAGTTGCCTCATCCAGCCTTGATTTGATAGTATGTGCCTGGTTTTAATGGCATATTATGCCATGTTTGGTTGATGTCCCTCAAAGGTCTGCTCTTTTCTAAGAAGAGACAGAGGAGGGTGGATCTAGGGGAGAGGGGAGGTGGGGGAGGGAAACTGGGGGAAAGGGAAATGAGGGGAAACTGCTGTCAGGATGTAATAGATAAGAGAAGAATTTTAAAAATTACAGGTGTGGAGAAGACAGGAAGAAAAGAGGTCATCATAGACTCGAATAACCTAAGATGTCTTTGAACCAGTACATGAGACATTGGGATGTACATTCAAATAGAGACTTAAGAAAAATGAGCTAACAGGGAGTCCAATGGCACAAAGGCAAGGGCACTGAAGAGCAGTGATTGGCACAGGCAGAAAAGACAACCATGGGCATTACAGACTTCGGTGCCTGGGGATGGGGGGCGGCGGGGAGCTGAAGCCACCTCTGAGCTACTTACATGAAGACTGACACAGACTGTGTGAACTGGAAAGCCTAGGACCATCCTGACGAACTTGAACCAGAATTTTATAAGCAAAATAAATAGGGTTTTAGGCAAGAAGGGCCAGCAGGACAGTGTGTGGCCCTGGGTAATTATTGAAATGCTGCTTTAGTTTTTAAAAGAGGTGGAGAAGGAATCCAAATTACATGGCTACCATTTCAAAAAGTCTACTTAAGATCTTGATGCGTAAAACATGAAGAAGTTAATTTTAAAATCCTTTTATGTATTATCTGCCTTCTTGAGAATTTTCCATTGTCCTTGTACAATAATGTAAGTTATCACATTGGGGATTTTTTTGCATATCTATAAATAGCTCCTTCACCCATAAACCAGGGATGACAGCCTATTTTTATTATTTAAACATGTCTCCAACTATGCAAGGGCTATTTCCAGGAACTCCAAGTGCCACAGCCACTCTGCTGTCAGTCAGGCTGCATATGTCAGGCAAGTGGTGCCAGAGAAGAGCTCTCTTCTAATCACTCAAAAGAGAAGAAGTCAGGCACAGATCCTGTCACCATGCTGCCAGGGGGATATTTTAGCAGCTGGCTGCAGGTAACATGAAAACCGGAGCCAGAGACTCATGCATGGTCTTCAGAGCTTCTCTAGGCTCGAGGCAACAGACAACACATCCAACCACCTCACAGCAATTCTTACTGACAAACTCTTTATTAATCACCTGCCTCTGTGAATTCAGTCTTCTCGGCTGAACCTGATCTAGCCAAAAAACATGGAGGGAGGGTTCAAAAAAAATTCAGAATTTCCACTCTAAGGGCCAGCTATCACTAATGTAGAGTTGGAAGTTGAGCCCAGTTCCCCCATGGGCCAAAAGTCTTGAAGTAGCTCCCAGAGCGACAGTACTAATACCTCCCCCATAAAACTACAGCAGCAATAAACAAGTCATAAGCATAAAGTGCTTGAAACACGGTGCTCAAAGATAAGGCTACTCTACTAAATCACCTTTCAGGGTACTGCGACTATTTACTCTTGAGGGGATTGGGGCTGGCTTCACACAGGGTATCATCCCATGCTCTCCATCATGGAAGCATTGAAATGGCCCAGCCACTGGTCCTCTCCAGTACATCATCCTTGTATATCTATTGTTTCAGCCTCTCTGACCTCCTTCCAGCCCTTGCTTCTTTACCCTGTGGAATCTCTCTTCTGTAGGATAATTTGTTGGTCAGTGCTGCCTCTGCCACCATCTTGGATGACTTAAATATCTGTGTGAATGCTAGTACATCCCCAAATGTCAAAATGGGCAGAGCAAAGACATTGAAAGAACCACACTTGCCTAACGGTGTTGATGAGAGGTCAGTAGTCATGGCCCTGGCATTTACTGGGAATGAGAGAGCAATAGCCCTGGTCCTGACATTACTTGAGGGTGTTTCATAGTTAGGAGCATCCTCATCTCTAAACCAGCAGGATTAACCTCAAGAGGATGAAAATACAAAACCTCCAGGATTTTAATATGTTGGTGAGCAGGACACAAGCTAAATCCCCTCTGAGTCCCCACATCCTGACTTAATCCACCTCTGAAGTCCCTGTTGCAGTTAATGGTTCTTCAAACCACCTAGTCTCACAAACTCATGGTCCTCATCAACTCTCATCCCTGTTTACTTGTGACTCGCATCAAGACAGTTGTCATATCCTGCTTCTGTTCACATTGCCATATGCGCTTCCCAGTCTTCTTTCCCAAATGCTAACATCATCTCCTATTCTTCACCTTCCTTACTCTCTTCCTGGAGCGCCTAATGCACTTCCCATTTCTGGTTTGGTTTTGGATTTGTTGTTTGTTTGTTTTAGCTTGAGACATCAGATAGGCTTGCAGTTACATTTTTATCCAAACAGATTATTTTTCTAATCAAAAATTTTTAGATAGAAACAGACTAAGTTCCCCTTCTCTTTGGCAAATTTGAACCTGATTGTTCTTTAAAACTCAGTGGGTCCCTTTTCAATCCCTTCTGTGGATACCCCCAGGTGACTACTATCGTCTTTATAAAATATGTAGTTGATGTCTGGCTCTCTAAAAGATTTTCCATTGCTTAGCACTGTTCTCTATGTTTTAATAAAATCAGTAAAAAGTAATGGCATAAAGATGTTATATCGGAAAATTCCATTCTGCTCAGATGAGCTCATGAAGGTTTAATATGAAGCTGGGTGCCTTGAGCAAGGCAGATCTGGTCTTTTCCTTCCTTCCATGATGCACTGTTGTCCTTGCCTTCATCAGTCTTGAGTCTCTTGGCTGTGATAGCTGAACTCATTGTTTCATCCAGCAGCTGCTCCAATTGTCCAGTTATCTGTTTATAACATTGGTTGAACATGAGCCCTTCTTCAGACACTGACCCTGCTCAGGGTTATGCTATTAGCTATTAGTGTTCATTTTTTTCCCTATGAGGTGAAATTCCTATTGAAGGCTGGAGACAGACATCATGGCATCTTCAGTAGTGCCCTGATGACTAAGGAGTCCTTAGCAAATCTTTGCTCACTTAGAGCCACATGAAGTCATGTGTACACAGACTTGCAATCAAACCCTGGCTCAGACATCTGTGATATGTTTTTTTTTTTAGTTTGTTATAAAAATTTGGCCAATTCTAGTTTTTTTCCTCTAAAACTAGAATAATAATACCTCTATTATAATTGTTGTGATGATTATATGAAAAAACTCATGCATAGAGAATGCATGAATAAAACATAGAACTTGGTAAATAAATTAAGCAATTATTATGTTGGGCATGTTGTGGATCTTGCCCAAGTTTGTAGAGATTCATAATACCTGTGGTTCCTAAATACATAGCCCTGAGATGGAAAGTAGTATGAAGCTTTCTTTAAATCCTGTCAAAATTACTTCATCTATAGTG